GAGGAGAGGTAGCCACCGGCGTGCAGATTGTGTCGCAGGTGCAGGAAGGTTTGAGAGAGCAGGGAGTTGGCGGCACTGGCGCTGTTGATCACTAGGTCGCTCGGTGAGGTCCAAGTCTGGGCCCGAGAGGCTGCAGATAAGACAGAAGAGAAATCTGTCATACAGACAGAAGAGCGGTCAGGTGGGCGACGTAACTTTCAACAAGTTCACACACTTGCAGAAAGGGACGCGATTGTCCTATTTTGCGTTGCGACTACGCTTATACGGCGACGAAAAATGTTGACAGAAAAGGCAATTTCTGTCCATTACGCCTACAACTGGCCGTAAAAACGCGAGTCAGTTGGTCCGTGCGTTGACCTGGCCACTGTGAATCGCGCTGTAGGATTTCAAAAGTCGAACCATGAACAGCGAAAACTCCCTCCGAGCCAAGAATGTGGAAGGATGATAATAATTCAAAAGGGTACCAAAGTTATTACTGAGGAAGATATGTGTTGAGTCGATCTCTATCCTCCTCTTTTCATTCACTGTTTACCGGTAACAGGTCTCATTTAGGCTGGTTAAAAGTAGGGCTGGACGCGCAATGGCTAGCAAACTTTGAAGTCTCCATCGAACGCATGCACGCATGTTTTTCTAACACGTGTACATCCTACAGAGTAGTGTAGCCCCTTTTTGAGGTTCCCCCAGAGCGACCAACATATACACACCTCAGCAACAGTACAAATTTTGCTGCACAACTGGCGACGCAGCAGAGGTTACAAGAAACCTGGTACAAGTTAGGAGGACTGCAGGTAGGAGGGTGGAATGGCTCCTGTCCAATGCGAGATCCGAACCACATAACCCATTTCGAATGTACTGCTGGTGTGTTGTGGATGCGATACTCGCGGACGAAATTACCAGCTCTGTCAGATGCTGCATCGCATCGAGTGACTGACCGACGCTGACAGTGAACTGATGCTTAGGGGAGGAAAGAGGTGAGAGGCGAGGCCGACGGCACTCAGTGCATAGTCCTCACGAAAAAGTATCCGGTGTGCTTCTAAACTCTCAGGGTGCGCTAACAACCGTGGCTTAGGAGGCCGTCGGTCGACGGTGACAACTCAGTTCTTTTAGGACTGCAATTGCTGCTTCTGAATTTGGTCTCTATGGAATCCGTTTCACTCATTTGAGATCCGAGCCATTCTCTTTCTCGGTAATTTTAGACCCTGGTGATTTTACCAGGCACGTGTCGCACGCATAGTCTGAATGTCAAGCTCTGCCAGCCACCTGTGCCCGATCCCACCTCTGGTCTTCTTGACGCTGTCCCCAGGAGGGTGGGAGATGATATGGTTGTGGTCTATACTGTGCAAGTTTACTTCATCATCCCTGCGACTAGCCTGCTGTGGAGCAACTGGCGGACGTCGTCAGAAACAAAAATGCTTATTTTTTCATGAATGTTCTACCACTAGCCGAAGTCGATCCACCAAACGCATTTCAGCAATGCGTTGGTCAGACGAGCAGTTATTGTCAAGCTGAGGCACGATTAAGACAATTTAAGACAAAAGTGAAAATGAATCTGCGGGAAAACGTGAAGAAAATTATGTTGGTGACCGATAAAAAAACAGCTTTTTTCAGTTAGAACTTGATCACAGTTCTGAAGTGTATGCCTTTTGAAACCTTAAATTGAAATGGATCTATAATTTGAGAAGAGCAAAAGAGATAATATTGCACAGATGAATACTAGGCTGGCGTTACCTAAAATACACTCCATATTGTGAGGACAGAAAAGATGGACAAGGCATAAAAGCAGGTAGGGGGAGGAACTTCTAGATTGACAAATCGGTCAAATAAACTCCAAAAGAGATG